GTTAATTAATATATTAATTAACTTAATAATATCATATAAATCACATTATTAACTTTAAATTTATTATCTCAAAATTTTTTCGTACTCCCTAAATTATTATTTTTGTTTATACGCACGAGGCAATAAGCTAAGTCGAAACAAAGTGTGGATCAAGCCAGCCATTGACTAGCCGAGCCGAGCCGAGCCATTGAAGAGAGCGCTGTCAACTCCATCCAAGCTGCAACCTGCACCAACCACGTCTAAATCGCTAATGTCGTGACCCTCCCTTTTATTCCTGTGATATCCACGTGCCCTCCTCTCATTCGCCCTGCACTCTTCTCCAAAACATCACTCCCCACTCTCTCCTCCCCCTCCCCTTTCCCCTTTTCTTAATACTATTAATATTATTATTATTATTTTTCTACCCCCACTTTTTGTAAAACCCTCGTCGGAACAGACACCGGATTCTCGGAATATTATCCTCCTCTTCCTCCTCACCCATCATCGTCGGACGCCCACACATCTTTCTGTCGGGAAAAAAAACCTCCTCCCTTTCTCGGTTTTCCTTTAATTTCTCTTCGAATTTAGGATTCGAACTTCAAACTCCCACTGCTGTCACTGAAATTTTTCCACCGCCGACGTTGAGTGTTTTCTCGGATAAGTTTCCTTTTTGTTTCTTTCTTTTTTTTTTTATCGGGAAAATTTTGCGTGGACTGTAAGTTTCTTTCGTCTCTCATCTTGTTTTTTTTCCCTTCAGAGGACGCTTCCAGTTCAAGTGATTTATTTTGAGAAAGTCTGAGACAGAGGTTATTCTCTTATAAAGTTTAATTTTCTCCAGGAAAGGGAAAGGGAAAGGAAAAGAAGTTTTGTGGATTCGGGGATTAATCCTTGAGGAATCTGAACGGTTTCTGGATGATTGATTTTCTCGGTGTTTGGTTTTGGAGTTTAAGAATGCAGTGGAAATTGAAAGGAGCGTTGGGTTTCAGCTGATTTTGAGTTGGTTTTGGGGGTTGGGTAATGGTTATGGTGTGATTGTATGTAGAGATTGGGAGGGATTTTTTATTTTTATTTTTTATTCAGACTTTGAAATGAGAAATTGCGGTATAATTTGAGGTTGCGAAGTTGCAACCATGAGTTGCAGCGGCGGAGAGAGGAACAGAGTTGAGGAGGAAGAATTGAGAAGCCCTCACCGGAACGGCTTGACTGCGGAACCGGAGTTGACCATCGACGCAAGCCTGCTTGTTGATCCGAAATTGTTGTTTATCGGCACCAAAATCGGCGAGGGAGCACATGGGAAAGTTTATGAAGGAAGGTCAGTATCATCCTTAGTTGAAGCTGCATTATTGCTAACCAAGCAGCGAACTTTTTTTTATTTTGCAATTAAACCCATAGAGCAGTGGTAGAGAATTTCAATTTTATCTTTTTGTATTTTATTACTCATAAAAGATGATTATGCGTGATTTAGATTTTTTTTTATTTGTTAATGTGAGAATTTGGATGTGGGATGTCCTTTTTTTGGGTGCATACTTTAATATGGAATTGTATATGTAACAGTATAATTCCGTATTTTGAGAATCAGAGCTATGGTTTGTTTCTATGTATATTTTCAAATCTAGGATGAAATGTAATTCTTGTTGTTCAATGCAGGTATAATTTTTTTATTCATTTTTTAATGGAAAAATTGATGGAGCAGCTTCAATTTGTAAACTTTTATGGTATACAATGTGGTAGACAATGGTGTGGTAGTTTGTTGGTGGCTGGAGTCCTAGTTACATAGGTATAGTCTAATATTTTTCCAGGTATGGCGATGGAATTGTTGCTGTCAAAGTTCTACATCGTGGAAGCACTGCAGAGGAAAGAGCTGCACTTGAAAGTCGTTTTGTTCGTGAGGTTAATATGATGTCTCGAGTGCAACATGAGAATCTGGTACAGGTGAGGTTAGAAGAAGAAGGGTCTGGTAGGCCTTGCCTTGATGCCTATTTAGTGATTGCTTTCTTAAATGATCTGCAATATTTGTCTCACTTACAGTTATTGATTTCTTGCCCCTTGCAGTTCATTGGAGCTTGTAAGGACCCACTTATGGTGATAGTAACCGAGCTATTACCAGGAATGTCACTCCGGAAGTATTTAATTAGCATTCGTCCAAATCTTTTAGATCTTCATGTTGCATTAAATTATGCCCTGGACATTGCTCGAGCCATGGAATGTCTACATGCCAATGGGATCATACATAGAGATCTGAAGCCTGGTACTTCTTCAGTGTGATAAATATTGCAGTAATATATTATTTATAGTCTGCTAGCCTGGATCAATCCAAAGATCCTATTTGCATTGTCCAGTTCTCTTTCAGGTTTGCATCTGGATTTCCAGACCAATTTTCTCCAACCTTATCCTGGAGATGGCATTGTATTCTGATCTTTATTCCTTTTTTTCTACCCTTTGTCTTTTCTGTGAAAACAAGCAGATATTATCTTATTAGGCCACAGTCGAGACTTGTAGTGCATCTTTTCTTTCATTTTATCAAGCTACTGGGAAATTTTCTTTGTTTGTAACTGTGTGTTTGTGTGGTTAGTTAAAACCAAGTTGTCCCAAAATTTTGTGGGAAGAAAATTGGATGTAGACGCATTTAAGATGCAAATGTGATAGCCCTGAATTTCTAACTGTGTTTCTAAACTTTTTGATACTTTAAACATTGGTGTCAATTTGTTTTGTGCTAGAAAAAGCAGAATTTGGTTGTACTCCAGTTTCAGTCATTTTTTCATATTTCATTGTAGACTAATATGAAAACATATGGCAAAATCTATCAATGCAGATAACTTGTTGCTTACAGCAAATCACAAGGCAGTGAAGCTTGCAGATTTTGGTCTTGCAAGGGAAGAATCAGTGACAGAGATGATGACAGCAGAAACTGGGACTTATCGGTGGATGGCTCCTGAGGTTTGTGCCACTGTTGCTTGAGAAAAATGTAACAATCTAGTTTTGGATTAGTGTTGAGCTTTCTGCATGTTTGTTAAGTAATTAAATTTGTTCTGCAAATTCTTTCCAACTCTTGATGTCCATGCTCCTTCATGAGCCCTAGGAAGTCCACTGCCAGTGATTAGTCACTGTTCCAAATATAGAGAATATTAAATCAAGTGGGAATATATTTAGGAAAAACATCTATCCTTAATGATCTATATAGATGTTGTTGATATGTGTAACTGTTGCAGGTAGAGTGATGCCCTTAAGTTTTACTCATTACTTCTGAGTAGGTATGGTGATGCCCCTTTTTTTTCCCAAAGCTTTTCCTATTACTGTTGTTTGCTTATTTAGAAGATATGTGGATTAGAACATGTAGAGCTGGCTATATTTTAAACCAAGACAATGAAATTTTTTGTAGGGTGACAGATTTGTGGAATTAACTGAGCCATATGGTATTATCATCATATCTGAAATACACGGTTTAATTGTAACTTGATGGCTAGAAGATGACTTGAATTAATATTTAGATCCAATAAATGCTATCTAACTGTTTACCTACCTGCATCTAGTAGAGCCAACTGCCAATTGAATATCTTAATTAAAAACCACTAGCCACTCATTTATTTCCAAATATCTGATTATTCATATTCTGTTGGTGCAAGAGGTTTTTTTTTTTTTTTTTTTGGGGGGGGGGGGGTTTATTATATTGAGTTTTATATATGCTAAAATTATTGTATTGGCGTTTAAGTCTGTGTAAATGAGTCTAACTAATTGATCTAAACTTCATTTTTTTTTCTAACCTAATTTGGGCTAGACTTGACTTTAGTAACATACAAGCTCGAGCTTAATTTTGACCTGAATATTATTATCAAGCTTGAGCTGGATTGAATAAAGATATGTATGTAAAAATTATGTTCTTTATATTATAATTAAATTAATAAAATGAAAGGGCGTGTAACATGCACCCAAAAAGATGATGAAGGCATGCATATATGTAAGATAAAAAGTTTAAAGTCACATGGTAAATGATATGAAGTACATATATGATAAAAGGTTTAAAGCCAAATGTTAAATGAAATGAAAGTATGTATGTCGCCCAACAATGATAAAGACATTCAAGTTTGTTTTTTAAATAAATTGGGCTTGACCATAAATTTGATTTTGAGCTCAATAAGTTTAATGAAAGTTTGAGCTTGACTCTTAAAACTCAATAAAACTCAAAGATCAATCCAAACTTGATAGAAATGACTTGAGCTGAAGTTTGAATGACTAGATAATTGATTAGGCTCAGCTCATTAATTTATAGCCCTAGCTAGACAAAGTGTACTCTAAAAAATAATTCTGTGAATTTTGGCATCAATTTGTCAAAATTTGACGTGTACTTCAAGATCAATTCGATGAAAAATATCATAATATATATTCCTATAAAAATAAATTATAAAGTAAAATGAAAAGAAAGAAA